GTTACCGCAATCACGATACAGAATGTACTTTACTAATACTAATTTTAACACATTTTTATGTAGCTATCGATATATACTAACTAGATCCAGTTACGTTCGTTATTCTAATTCCATTTACATCCTTTAATTTTGCAGTCATAATCGCATTAAGAACGCTAACAGATTCATTGTACTGAAATTTCATAAATATCAACACTTCAGCAATAATGCTGCCCTGCCTACGAAAGATATTTGACAGATAAATTATTAACTTATAAATATAAATAATTCATAAAATCTTCTATACAAACATACATGCACACAGTAAGTAAATGCTTTCATTCTACTACAAGGAATAACTTTAAAACAGTAACTTAATTATTAAATTGCGAAGATACCGAAATCCTTGTACGACAGTATTTGCGATCAGTTGGTTGATAGTTATATCGCTTTTCAAAACATACATGACCTAATAAAGTACCAAATGTTATATTATTAACCACAATTCATAACAATTAATTACGGTACCAACTAAGCAAATATAAATCTATATTTACTCTAAATCGCCATAAATCAATCTAAAGAAATTGTTGTAATATCCAAAGGTTGAGCTAATATTCATACTTTTCTTTCAATCGATCTTGATAACTGCTTAAACTTTGGAGTTCTTGGATGTAATAATTCTAGTGAAAAGTCGCCGCTTATGGTAATATTGAAGGCATACATTTTCACCTCTGTTAAATTTAATCACATGAGATACATACAATTCCTTGAATTATGCTAAAAATTTGCTAGCTATATGATACTCTAATATTTAACGAAATATGCGTTGAATGATATGGTGCATGAGTAACTCATATATACTAATACCTTCACGACCAAACATCGTGCATTAACATAATATGGACTAACATGTCTGAATAATTTTATTCCGATCAGGATGAAACCCTAGCAAAGTGCTAGAATTATGAGAACTTGAATGATGAATAAAGGCTTAAATTGTCTAACGCGTACTGCACCCATAACTGATATATCGGTGTAATGACTAATAGCAGCAGAACTATCTCATTGCGATACTAAACACTTTCGTCCACTTCAAAGATACCATCACACAAGCAGCGCACGAAACGCATAGCATACGTAATTGTTCCAGTAGCTAGCATACAGGAATTTAAATCCTACTTAGCTATCTCTGCTGCTACAATGAAGTTTTATAGGTAATATACCTTATATTGGTACTTTAATACTTACTGACACATTGCATATCAACAGTGTCTGTAGTAGATGGCAAAGCTGCATGGAATATACTCGCGTATCCTGGGTTGCAAACGCAGTAATAGGATCCGATTGTATTAATGCATCGTTCATTTAAATTACAAACCCCATCAATGTAGCATTCATTAAAATCTAGCCAAAAAATTATTAAATTACTCAATTACGCATTAAAATTGAATTCCAGAAAAGACCTATAGCGATATTTGTTTCCTTAATCAGCGATTAATTGCATTGTGGTAACAAATTTGTATTGCTTTCTATGACATCATACTAAACTAAGGTTATGCCTTAATAGGATTATTATCAATTACGAACCTACACAGCTACTTTGCTTACGAACATATCCAGTTTTACATATACATGCCGGACTACTGTCTTCCAATATGGCACATTCCGAGTTTAGAGGACAACCATGTGAACAATTAAAGCTTCGATATTGACTTTCTATTACGAATACAAATCAAAATACTACGGGATTAATTGCTGTGCAAATTTCGAAAAATAGGTCATCCGAATCACTATTAATGATGATACAGGGTCAAGTGCTAGAAGACTACGGTCTAAGTAATATTCTTATACTGTAATCATAGTCATTAAACTGCATATAATTAAATATAATTAGGCCAGAGTACTTAATCGATCCGATAAAATAGTAGTCATTGTTCAAAACAAATTAGTGTTTTGAGGACTACTATGTTTTGGAATTATATGGCTCTTTCTTATTAATATTCTTAATAATTTCTAGTTAGATATAATATACTGTTTCGTTATATCAATCGAGCGTATGATAATTTCCTTACTAGGGTAAGTACAGTATTTACTCACCTCGACATTTTATCCCATCCCCATAATAACCTTCCTTGCAAACACAGCGGTAACTACCGATTACATTTAGACATTTAGCATTGCTGCTACAGGGAAATCTGTTGGAATTACATTCGTTTATATCTAAGTATTGACGCAACAAAATAAAGACAAAGTGTAAGTTTAACCTCCCAAGTCTACAGTTTTTACGATCAGATCTATAATTATACATATTCGTTACTACCGTAAGCTGCTACGACTATGATCAGGCTGGCAAATGTGTGTCTATGTAACATTATTTACTAAAAAGTTTAGAGTATCATACGTAAGACTTTTAAAGTACCGAGAAGTGTCTAGAAAACATGAATTCAATCAACCTGTACAATTTTCACCAAATTGCGAATACCCATCTTTGCACACACAAACATATGAGCCTTTGGTATTAACACACTTCTGATTTAGACTACATCTTTCGTCGTGGCACTCGTCGATATCTGTAAAACAGTGCAATAATAAAAAACCATAACTTGAAGACTTAGAACTATTCGTAAACTGTTCCAATATCAGTTTTCGTAATGTACTCCGCATCGTTACCATTATTTATTTGAAGCCATACCTTGCGTACAATCTGATCCCTGAAATCCAGTATTACAAACGCATTGATAAATCATGGTGCTACTACCGCTCTCTACCGAAGCAATACATCTACCATAGACGCAATGTAATTGTCCACAAGTCCCTGTAAAATTTGTTCATATCACGTTTCACAGTACTATAAACATTCATTAAGTGAATTGTTTCATTTAGTTTACAGGAATACGAATAAATATCGATAATCCTATACACCTGCTTTTCATAATGATACTGAGATCGCTTTATACCGTAGTTCAAGTGATTTACTCGTAAATAATTGTTTCCATGTAAACAATAATTTCGTTTACTTCACTTACAAATATTAAAACCAAATTTGTAATTTATAAAATACTGCGCATTTAAATGAAGAAAAATCCAGTTTAAACTAATGTAATAAAGAATTAACCGCATTAAATACTTCCTCTCGCAAGCACTCAATTAAAGCAGTATTACGATGAGGTAATGGCTACTATACAAGAAAACGTTTGAAATTTATTATACCCGAGCACTTGACCCCTGCAGTGAGAACATCGTTGCTATAGGCCGGATTCCACTCGTTATTGCACGAAACGATTTCAGTTTCGCAACCACTACAATGCATTCGTTTTACCCACAAAAATTGATCACTTTTTCCAATATGACTACAGCTAGCAGTGGCGTAAGCATGCCCAAGTTGTCTGCAGATAACATTACTGGCGGATCCACCAAGTCCCAACCAGTGAACAGCTCCCCATGTTCCGTTATGATAGATTTGAATTTCTGTGCAACCCTCGTCATCAACATTAGAAATTTGAATGTCACCAATTACAGCTGGACCTATCGATTAATTATCAATACTCACGTTATTTTAAATGCGTTTACAAATAAAAACTTCTACAGGCTATAATTCAGAAACATGTCGATTTTATCTATATCTAAATAATAAAGGACAACAGATTAACGCTATATGAAATATGTTTAGATATTTGCTATGAGATTTACCTTTGTTACAACTTTCACCGTACCAACCATTAGGGCAGCTACAGAAATACGCTTCATGCATATCGACACACGTAGCATTTAGATGACACGGATTTGAAGCACACTCGTTAATACCTAAAGAACAATCCGGTCTCCTTATTCAAGCTTATAGTTAATAGGTCACCATAAAATCATCTATACCGACTGAGGCCGCTTATAGGAGCAGTAATATAAATGTTAGACGTTGCATTACTATACATGATTTTACTCAACTATTTACGCATGATATACTAAATTAAATATTTATATAAAAATTTTTTCTAAGTGTCAAGACATTGAAAGCAAGAGTCGATAAGCTTAGCACGTACTTATATTGCACTTCTTTCCCGTCCATCCAGCAGCACACTTGCATCTGTAATCAGCTGCACCAATCCCAATACATTGGCCATATGTGCAAGGATTAGGGTTGCATGCGCCTAAATAGTATTCATATTTTATATTATTAATTATATAACAAAATTTTAGTTATTAAAATACTAGCATACTGATTATTATCACTCTTGATAGCTTCAATAATGCGAGATAGCTACTTACTAACTATAGTTTACGTATCGTGATTCAGTGATGATGTACAGTATAACTCTATCTAGAATTAAAGCTAACAGTCATATTGAAGGTTTATACTAGTCTCAACTAGCACAGGAGATAGAAAACTGTGCCAGCAGCCAAGGTTTATGTAAGATTAGCCACTAATTCCTACTCCTTATTGATTGATAACAACAAATTTTATACGTGCGCTGTCCATAGTTATCGGGTAAATAATAGTTATTAGATTGAAACAACAGCGAACCGATTTTATACTCATTAGCTGATTAGGATTTCGTTCCTGATATAAGAAAAATCCGTACCAGCGTAAATCAAAATTATGTATTATCAAAACCGTAGGTTGAATTTAGGTATCCTTTTACCGTTTATTGAAGACACTGATATAATATTAACCCTTTTAGAAAACCCATCGTAATTCTTCAAAAGTTATAAATTTTCGTACCTTCCATTGCAATAGGCACGAAACTTTATCTACGGAGGGTATTAATGACTCAATGTTAGATTGTTAGCCTTCGGTACTTTGTGGTAATATGTAACAATATACCGCTACAGTCCTGTACTGATCTACTATTATACTGTACAGTATGTTATTAGAAGGTTGCCGAAATGTATTGAACATACTGTATACTGTACAGGATACTGTAGATATATTCGGATATACTTGTCCTAACATCGCCTGTGCTGTAAACTACTGTACTGCTTGTTGCCTTGCTGTGCACGCGTTATACTGTACTGTAGAACGTGAGGAATCTAATATCGTACAGTACTATTTACGGCTTATCTACACCTTATCTACTGTACTAGATTAAGATCACATGCTACAAATGTTCACGTGCATTAGGATATGGTATTAAAATTAAAATTATGTTAGTACTAGAGCTGATATGTTGTCACATTTCTTATGTCTCGTTAACGTGTGTATGATATCGCGCTTGGCTCGGGTTTCCAAATAAAGTAGACTAAAAGAAAGGAAAGCTTAAATCTCAGATTCTTGACCTCGTTACAAAACTATGCTATAGATGGAATACCATCATAAGTAACGCACGAATTTTATTATAATCGAACTCTCTTCTAACAAAAGCGAAGGTCTAGTCCGACCACTTTTGGCGGTAAGTTTTCGGGCACAGTTTCAGACTAAGAAATTTGCAGTGGATGTAACACAAACAAGATATTCAATAAACTTGCTCGAAAACGAAAAAGTTTCTATTTTGGGTCGCTCTAGTCGTCGGTCTACTTTGTTAGTAGTGGACTACTTATAAACTTGTGTAATTTATGTGAAAAATGAACTTTACAAAAACTACAGTTCTTGTTTTATAATTCTAAAGACACTTCATCACAACTTGTAAACAATGATGGTCTACTAGTATACTGTACAATAAATAATAATATCATCGAAAACCATTATCTCTGTTAATGTTAAATTCAATCCCCGGGAACCGGTCATTCCCTATGACTAGCCGAGCAACTGATCACCAATTCGTTCAATCCCTATGAATGACCGAACAATCGGCCAGTCATTCGGTCAATCCCTATGAATGGCTGCGCAATTGACCAACCATTCACTATCCATCATACAGAATCTTTATACTATTCATTAATGCAGTCTTTCGTGAACAAAATTATCAGGTTGAAAGCCATTAATTTAACTCCATATGGCACAGTATCTCAAAAAATTAGTGATACAAGCAATTATAAGTAATTAAATTTCTAAACATTCTAATACCGCTACATTTTCTACTTTCTAGTAATCTTTTACGAAGCTATATTCAACAATAAAGCCTATTTTCGATTGGCTTTGTTAAAAGTAAATTTAATAATTTAAGGAATTCAGAGATACTATTAGGAACTTACCAACACAGAAGACGCCTACTAAATCGTTAGTCTTAATCATTTTCGGGCTCCATTTTGATTTATGGCATGATTGAATATCTTTCTCGAAATAGCGACAACTTACATCGTCTAACCATTGCATCCCAATTTCCGATTTATTTGACGCCTTATAAGTACATGATTTAGAGCCACCATGATAGCCTAGCTGAAGGCATGTAATCCTTTCCGTATAACTAAACCAAGATGACGACATCCCCATGATGCCCCAGAAGCCATTATGGTAAATATAAATGATCGAACAACCAGAAGTATCGGTGTGTAACCGAACATCAGATTCCAGCACAGTGCCACCTACGAATAAAACAGAACATAAATATGTTGCACGGTACAGCAATGTGCTTTACACATGTATTTAATACTTAAATGTAAATTATTACCGAAGTAAAATGAGAAAACATGTAGTTAATAGTAAACAAGTTGTTATTACGATACGAAATCAGCGCGATTGATATGCTAGTAACCGTTAACAATCTAATATTGATAGTCACTGTTGATACAATCAATAATTTAATTATCACCCTCCTGTAATAACCTTTTTCACACGATTCTCCGTAGTATCCTTCTGGACACTTGCAATAGTACAAGCCAACAGCATCGACGCACGTTGAATTTTCGGTACAGGGAGACGAAACACACTCGTCAATGTCTAGTGAAGCAATTACTATTTATTAGCGACTTGGTATAAAATAAGTTATGGAAACTGAAAAGTTTACAATGTTTGCTTGTTGTAATTAATATAACCAGGTTGCTTTGCTTCAGCTTTGCTTTAAATAACTTGGATTCTAGCAAGATCAACTAACGTTTCATCACTATACTCATTAAGGCACTTAATAATAGATACGTATCCGCAACATTAAAGTCTTATTATTTAGTTCATTTGCATGTAAATCTAAAAATCTAATGAATTTGATTTCAATAGCAGCTTTAAAGCACGTGCAATATTTCAGCCAGTACACGAGAATATTTAATAAAAATCTGTACTTTATATTAGCAAGAATGTGGCAGCAAGCTAGAATTTTATAATTTGTGACGCGACGAAATATATTCTCGCATTATGCAAAGATCCCAATTAGCTGTAATCTGTGTCCTGGACTACTAAAACACTATTATTATATAAATTAATTTTGCAGTCTCTTACTTTTCCAATGCATATTTAAATAATCTATATAACTTCCGTTTGCACTGAATGAAAAGATAACGATATTAATTAAACAACGTTCACAACGCTAAGAATGATATTGTAAGGCAGATTATGTATTTATGCAATGAAGTAAGAGCAAGATTTCAACTATTTATCGTCATTTGATTAAATAACTTTGTCTCTTCCTTTGCTAATAATGAAATAAGGTAACATGAAATCATAAACATTCGACTAATGTAAAAACTATAGTGCATTTTAGGTCTTGACATCTAAGAAATTTTGACAGCTCAACGAATTTTCAATCATATTTTAATTGACAAGTGTTAAACAAAGAAGAGGTTACATATATACATATAAATATACTTATATAGTACCTTACCATAGTCGCAGTTCTCACCAGACCAACCATGGAAACATTTGCAGTAAAAATCAGACTTTCCGACAGGTATACATTTACCATTTCGACACGGGTTATTCTGAGTATTATAACCGCAACCATCTATTCAGAAATAAAATAAATTAGTGACATCTTTGTATGAATAATTCATGCATTTTAAATAGTTCTATCTCATATTGATCACGAGGCATGAAAATATAATGTACTCGTATGCATATATTTAGCATTCTTAGAGAACGGTATTAGGCTATAGGCAAGCTTTCAGTAGACTTTTAATGCATTAAACATTTTCATAAATAAAAATATAATATGTGTCTACGAACTGTACTTGAGCAAATGACACCAGCATAATATTTGGATTCAGTTGATATCCTTCCAGTAATTTGTAACGTAGAGCAATGAAGAATTGCCTTTTCATTCCCGTTGCATTTTAAATTATTAATCCATTCAAACACAGTTCGATTCTCTATCCTTTTTCGACAGGAATCTTGTACAGTTTTATATCCAAGTTGTATGCAGGCTACTTTTCCGTTATTATGATTCCACCCAGAAAAATGGATATTCCCAGATATAACTCCAAAAGTGCCATTATAATAAACTTGTAAGATATTACAAGCAGACTGACTTTGAGGCGATGCCATTCTTAAAGATCCATCTTTAATAATTCCTTTAGGGAGATAATTAAAGAGCGTTCAAGTTAAAATTTGTATTCTTCAAGAAAAATCCTTACCACTGTCTGATACTTATTACTACTTATCAAAGTAATTTCATTTGTACTTAGCGAATGGCACAGCACAGATTAGATAAAAGTTTGAAACAGTATTAATTTTAAATATAGTGTATCAACAACCCTGTTCGCATTGTCTTCCAAAGTAGCCATTTGGGCATAGACATACATAGTGAGAAGTACTTTGCTTGTAGCAAGTCGCATTTCTTGGGCATGGCTGTGAGCTGCACGGATTTTTTTCTTAAATTTTCGATGTAACAGAGAAACAGCAAACACGAAGCACTTATTCCTTATTTACTAGGATGTTACGTCAATCATTTACATATAATGACCGAGCTGGTAAACTATCCATTAACTATTACTATAAAATCGGTAAAAATGCTGCTTAAATCAAATTATCTATTTCTTATTAGAACGCTTAAACAGCTACTGTAGTAGTTGTGTTAAGCCTCGTAATAAAAATTAAACTTTTACAGGCACTCAAGAATTTACCGATTTCACAAGCATCTCCGTACCAGCCATCATTGCATTTACAGTAAAAAGTGTTCGTGGAATTAGGAGTACAATTGCCATTATTGCAAGGACTAGAGGCACAAATTCCTATTGTTTGCAGAATGAAGATTCTATTATACTAAAACGAAATCTTATCGTTGAGTTTTCTAACAAGCGAAATCCGTAATCTTATAGCGATGTTAATATATGTGATAGCATTGGTCTTTGCTACTATTAAAATATGATATAAAGCTCATAAAATGATAAACAATGTTAAAACAAGAATACGTGCTACTTTAAGAAACGTTAATTTAGGGTTAAAATGTTTAAATCTAAGAGATACCTAAAACATAGTGATCATGCTGTGATAAGAAATTCAGAGAATATGTTAATATGTGCAGGTACAAAGCAGTGTACCTACGTTCATCTTATACCATCAAGAAGTTATTGACTATTTGCTAGGATGCAAGTGATAATTAATATTAATTATACAAGATAACGTTCCGTATCCATCACAGTTTTAGAAGTTTATTTTTTCATTAATTTTGTCATTACAAAGTGTTATGATTGTTGGGTTTTAAGAGCTAAAATATCTAACTGCAACTTTTTTTATGTACTAAATTGGTGAAACCCAAATAAATATATTCATATATATTGTAATTCCATGGGTGCGGTACTTAACTATATTTACAAGAGAAAATTATTATGTTTTGCTAATGCTCAGATCTGACATTCAATTTCACAAGAAAGAATGATTATTATTTATTTCTCTTCATAATTGAATATAACTTTCTTCTTTTAAGCGGCAATGGCAATTGCCTAAAGAGTTAGAACATTGGTAAAACTATAGCGGAGCGGATTGTTTGGATTAGGACTTGAGCACGATGCGTTTTTGTTTATCAAGTTTTCTAACGGTACGTATTCCTTTAATATAATTTATGGGAATTTAAAAATTTAACTTCTCAATTATAACGTCACTCATATGCTTTAATTTTTAATCTCATAGGAAATTACTGATTTGATTAACAAATTGAAAGAAACGTTAAGAACATGCTACTGAATTTACACTTATATGTATTTAAATTTTTCGGCTTTTTAGATTTTAAGATTTACATCTTCGTATAGACACTATTAGAGTTTGATTAATTATAACTTCAGGTCAGTAAATGTATATGACTTGTTTCACATTCGTGTGGTTTTCATAGATCATTTACCATATTTACAATAAAGAAATACTAGAATACTAGTGCTGCAACAATATGCTGAGGCATAAACTACCAAAATCTTTACCGTAAACGGTATAGATTTTAGTATTCTACGGCTCGGCTCTTTACATTAATCCGAATTGCCTCAAATATGGCATTTAACGTTCCCGATATCATTTACTGGTAACATAAACTATGTCTTCCAGCCTTGCTATCGATAAGTATGGTAAATATGGTATTCGTTGTAATACTTAAGATCTGTCGCAAACATAACTTTTGGACGAAAAATTACATGAATTTCATCGCTGCATACTTTCGTTGATGATAATTGCGGCATAATCTTAAAGAGGGATAATAATGCTATAATCTAAAAGTATCAGTGAAATATAAACTAAATCTATACCTTCATTGCAGTTTATTCCGGTCCATCCTAAGGAGCAGGAACAATTATAGGAAAGATAGCCTTCTAGGCATATTCCATGATTACACGGAAATGATGCACATTCTTTACTTTCTTCAAGTAGAAATAATAAAGTACGGTTACATAATTAGTAAGCTTATAATGTTAAGTTACCGGCAATTTGCAAAATGCCTGACTTCGTAAACTACCGGTAACTTACGTACAGTATAATTTATCAAGTACAGCAGCAGTGAGCTATACCGGCAGTTATAATGTTAATCGCATGCTTTATTCCTACCTCCACAAATAACTGAGGCATCGTGGCTATGATGGCAATCACTATATCCAAAATCTTGATGTTGACAGTCAAATAGATCGGTTTCATTGCCATTGCAGCGAACGTTATCTAGCCATATAGTTCCGCTACCTTCGCCATATGCTGCACAACATAAAGCTCGCCTAGCAGTTTCAAATCCTAACTGTCGACACGCTACCATAGCATCATGTATATCCCATTCATCGTCACATACTGTACCCCATGTGTTATTGTAAAATACTTCTATCCTTCCACGGTTAGAAAAAGAAGTTCCACGCAATCGAACGATACCCGATGCACTGGATGATGTTAAATGGAAGCCATCATCTATAATTAGTATAGAAAATTTGTAAATACCATTACGGTATATTACGCTATAGCTGCAATATAAAGTATCTGCGTTCTATTAAATATCAAAAAATAAGACTTATACTACGACTGTCATAAATTATATCGTACCACTAGTTTGAGAATTATATATTATTTTCAAAGCGTGGTAGTAACGAATTTTCTTATAAAATTTTTAAATATTATTTTAGTGATGCATACACATAGCTAAATCTTTCAATCATCTGAAGATAAGAGTTTTACTATAACTACGTCATTAAATTCTTTTACAGTAAATAATTCTTACCATTCTTTGGGATGGCAGCAATACTTGTGATCAATAATGATACCTATTGTTAAATGGAAAAGGAACTAATAAAAGTTGAATGCCACGGTTTTAGGCAGTATCATCAGCTGGAAACATATCGATTATGAGTGATGATACTGAAGTATTTTACTTGCACAAATACCCTCTATTTTATTGCAAATGTAATCAACTATGGAAAGTTTTAGTTAAATTATTGAATTCTAATATTTTTTATCAGTGGTAACTCAACTACTTTAAGAGTGAGTTTCAAAATCTATTTGAATATCATATGTTGAATTTTTGAAATCTTATCCCTTGAATTTATTACCAATGGTAAAACTGCCAACCTGATTTAAAAATACTGTATCGAATTGACTAAGAATCCAGGTATTGACATACATAATTAATACTGTGTTGTTTACTAATCTCATTTACGAACACTGATAATTAAGTACCAGATGCTGAATTTGCAACAGAACAGAATATTTACTTGTAGGTAAAATTTAAAAGCCATAAGACTTTAAATCCATTTTTATATTCGCGTTATATTCAAAATCATCAAATAATAAATACTAAGTTTTCTAACTTTAAATTTCGAACAGTTACTTACGCTTTATACTATTAAAGATTAGATAGATACTAATCCATGATTACCGTGGAAATTAGAAAGTAGTTCCAAATCTTTTTCATGTTAGGTCAGTAATTCTCATCTGTCTTGTCGGTAAAGAGGACCACGAAGTTTAATTGACCGGATATGTACAATCGTTGATCATTTAAATTTTATTTAATGCCAACAGCAGTCCAAATAAATAATTGTATGATCAGAGACGATATCCCACTGGGATAGATTTTCAAATTGAATTATGTTGATATAATACGTATTTTAAATTAAGATCTGAATTTTGGTTTAGGTACTAATACGGTGATCAAAAATGACCACTAGTCTAGTCATGTAACCGGTGATCACAATTTAATTAATTTTAAATGATTGTTGCCATGTAATATGAATACGATAAGTACGTATGACTGGTGTTTCAGAGATAAAATTGAATAAAAGGCGTCGTGATCGCTACGCATCGGATGCAGGTGGAAAGAACTATGTCAACTTAGTCTGCGCTAAATATTATATATAAAATTTTACGATAGCTGTTTGCGTAAATGTAATGTGGTGCGCCATATGTCCATTTTTGAGGAAGATACACTATTGTAAATAAATTTAGATAAATTTAGGTAATTATAATAGGCGATTATGTGATTATGGAAATAACAGCCGGTAGGTAATTAATCACATGCAGACTTTCATCTATACTCTAGCTCATCACTAACTTACTGTTACTTTCGCAGTCGTCGATTGTAATGCAAGCTGTATCGAATTGACCTGTATTTATAGATACTAACAAATATAGCGGTAAAGATAGACCAAGTTTAGATAGTATTAATTGATATCATTGTGGCTATGCCCTTCTGAAAGTAAAAAGTTTATCTTACATACTGGTAATTTAATGCACATTATAGAGTCTGTATGAGAAGATAGAATTGCGATAGTGTTAAATTTTCTTCAAAATTGAAATAGTTAGTAAATTCTCTTAGGGCTAACTACTATAGAATGTAACAGTCCCTTAGGATGAATGATTGGATTATTTAAATCTTTAGCAAGACCCTGTAATTGCAATTTGCTAGTTTTTATAGTTTTTAAACTGAAAATTATCTTTTACTGTAACTGTAATCCCACGTTAAAACATTCTAGTATATGAACGTGCCTATAATGCAATTAAAATGGATCTAAATAGCTGTAGTAAAGCACCAGATATTAGGGCAGTAGCTAGCTAGAAATGGTCAAAGAACTTAACATTAGGTTTAATTTCAGATAAGAGAATGTGGATGCTTAGCTTTGTACCGTTCTTATAATTAACTTTTAGACATTGTAGATAGAAAAACATCTACTATCATCGAAAACAATTACAATGCGTTCCAATTGGTACCATACGTAGAGTAAACAAAACTAGAACTTCAGTAATTAGCATAAACACTAACGTCTTGTTTTCGTTATTGACTTGTAAACGTTTAGTATGAATGAGTAGACTCCGTTTTTTTAAGTTTCTCTGTTAATAATTAGTTAATCTTCATCCAATTAGGTAATGAAGTCAAGATTGATTTTATCAAACTAGGTGGAAATTCTATTGGTCGAAACGTTTAAATCACAATTTTATCCTTATGGGTCGTAAACTTCAACTGTTATTGTATGTATATAAATATTTTAACTTAAAGTGAGGCCAGACAGTAGGTAAAGAACAATACGAGATCACAGGATCATCTACGAGACAAATTCCTTAGATGAATGCGTATCAAGAAAATATTTGTGCATTCCATCTAGTAGACTAAACTATCTGTAAAAATATTTATGTAATCATTTTTACTTCTTTATAAAATCTTTGTTATTTTGATAGGGTAGCATCTATTTTAGACACAATTTGGTGAATATCGCTTTGAAGTTTTCCTTAATATAAAAGAATTTGGAAGCTATAATTGGCGAGAGGCCAACTACTTTAATTTTCATATCAAATTTTTACTATAACTGATGAAAATGATATATTCGAAAAATTTAACGCTGAACGCCATAGCTGAACCATGTCAAATTCTTATTAATAACCATGGTCAATAGCAATTGCTAGATCAAGACAGAAATGCTTTCGACATACCGAAGAATTGCCTCAATGTTCACATAGCATGACGTAAATTTCGAAAAGTAATGTTAAATCTATTATACTGTGCTATATGATCACTGTTTAGTGCTAATCCATCTGGTAGTTATGAGCTGTCATTGCTAACATTTCATTAACTTGCAGTCAACTGTACGTACATTGTGAATTATATGATAGATATTAAGATGATATATCTGATATAAATCTGTGGTACAGCATAGTGTCAGCTGGAATTTTTCTATTCCAGGATATATTTGATTACATCAGTGAAAGGTAACGGTCATTCAATCTTAATTGTTAAAAGTTATTCAATGTCATGCGCAAATTATGATACCATGTAACAAATTACTCCATAAAATATTCGCCGTCAGTCAGATTGTGATCCCTCAAGGCTCACTTGCCCTGTTATGTGAATTCATTGTCACGATTCCGAAATGTTACTTGGCCTATAATTTTAAAATTTATTCTATCAATTGGGTCCAATAATAATTGTAAAAAGTTTTTGCTGTACAAAACTGCTCTCTATTATTCTGTAATCTGCAAAATAATAAATGGTATATAATTAATTTATTATAGTTACTAGGCTAAAGTCTGAAATAAGAGTACAGTACATATATTTTAAGAAAGATTATTTGCTAAAGTGAAAGAAGAAAAACTTCGTTTAGTCCTTTCTTACCATACAATGTAATTAATTAAACACTTTCTTAGAGCAATGAAATAGTTTAATATGATGAGTATTATACTTAAAGCACTTGCATAGTCGGCTGAAGCTCGAAATTCAAACCGTTTCTGCCCTTAATTCGGACTTTAGCCGGCATAATACTGTAGCCGGATCGGGTTTTGGCCGTGTAATATACCATATATTTTACTGTACTGTACTTTACGTACAATATGTTGTTTATTATTGTTTATTGATGCTAAACAGGATGATTGTCCATCCAACGTCCACCTCCGACTGTGATAACATCACATTATCACTCCAGATCTGGTGTCGTAAAGATTATCATTAATATTATTAATTATCAAACTGAGTTTAATGGAGACAGGTTTTACTACGGTACTGTTAGTAAACACTCAATTCACTTATTATGTATCACGTTACCATAGACCAAACTATTATTAATTGTTTACAGCTTCGAATATAATGGAAGAAAGGGTACCGATCAATATAAAGTAGAGCAAGTATTAACTCCTTCAAGTAGATCAAGATAAATCTTTAAATTAGTATCCATTGTTAGGATGGTTGTCATCACTACTAGTCAACATAAATCTGCTTAGTTAACAAAATATATCATTGTAATATTTATAATGGATTTGTTCTGACTAGTTATTTAAAGTATCGCCATTGCACCTGGAGGGAAATTACTATACTATGTACTGTAAGTACATTTTGAGTCTACAGTTCCGTAACGACCATAACAAACTAAATAAAAGCTTTAAATTTCTTATGGTCCCTTTCAAAAATCATTTCACCGTTGTATTGAAAAGAAATAATTAAATTTTCGGGAATGTCTGAGATCTCAAACTTTGAACAGAAACAGGATACAGAACCCATTTCGCTTTTGGATATTATACACGAGCGGACTCAGACCGTTAATAAGGTTGTTATGTAGAATAATTAAGTACTTAAAGGCACAAGGATACGTATGTATTTAGCTTACAATTTTCTCTAAATGTTATAATACTTTTGGATTGCAACAGAATGCCTTCATACATCGAACTATTTATATTGGAAAACTAAAAAATTTCGCAACTCATGAAAAGTTGGACGGTAAAGTTGCTATAGCGAAAGATCTACTTCTTAATTAAGTTTGAAGCACTCACATTACAGTATGTGCTTGAATGACTATCTTTATTTTTAACGATAGACTTTTAAAAACATGGTTAACGTTTTGGAGCTAAATTGCAGTAAATTAATGGATAATGCATTGGTTGTAGTGGGTAAAATGA